AATAATTAGCAAAAAAAGATTTAGGAAAAAACTCAAGAAGTCACATTCATCTCACGGTCATATACAGTCCACGTATCCCGTACTAATAACGTAGTACGTGGCAAAAACATGATGCATAGTGCAAAAATTTTGAGTGAAAATTTACTCAACTACTTACCTCGGACAGAAAGAGCTTCGACAGCCTCTGAGAATGTCACGATATTTGAACCAAAGTCACAATGCTTCACATGAATCGGATATGATTTTCCATAAACACGGCCATACAAATTGCAATCCAGAAAATGACTATTGGAGATGAACTTCTCAATTCGCTCGAAAGTTGTACGTTCATTTTTAAACAAAGGAGCTTTGTACTTTAGCATTGCATCCATCAATCCCTAGAAATTTATATTATTCGAGAAACCACACGCACTTCTTTACTCAATGTAAGACAAAAATTAAGCGTCTGAACATACGTCTATGTTCCTGTGCGTGTGTTTCTGTCTGTCTGTCTACTCATGCGTCTGTGTTTCTCTCCATATCATTTTCTGTTTTTGTGTCTGTTGCTCCTGTCTCTGTGCTTCTCTCAGTGTATATACACGTATGTGCACGTGCACCTTGCTTGTGCTCTACCTGCCTCTGTGTGTTTTGTATGTGTTTACGTAAGTTTTTCCATGCCTCTCTGCAAGTGTCTTCCAATGTGCGCTATTTAGCTGATTACCAAACTGATTTAGTTGTAACATTGATTGCATATTATGTTGATCATTCAGCAATGGTCGAAGTTGTGCAATTATGGAATATCTTTCTAAAATTTATGCTACATTCATTCTTTATGCTAATTTTTTTAAATGCTAATAATAATTATTATTATAATCATTATTATAATATTTGTAATAATAATTATTATAATAATATTGTTTACAAGATAATTTATATCAAAAAATTAAAGTAAATTTTATACAAAAGATTACGGTAATGAATTCATTATGCAATCATACCGTAGTGTGGATGTGAGGGAATCATTACAACTTGAAGAATCACTATATCGATAAGAGTTGGATTATTGAAGAAGAGGTGGCAGAACAGACTATACGTTCTTGGCTTGAAAACACTTTACGGCAAATTAAAGCACAACAAAATGTGTATTGAAACTAATTTAATTTGCATATATTCAATATTTTTATTCATTAAAAATTCTTATTAATTATCTTTAAGTATAAACTAATTTGAAATAAGTAGATATTTCTAGATTAAAAAATATAATTGTTACATTAAGTTATGTCTTTTTATAGCTAATTTGATCTAATATATCTCTGACAATGCTCATAGAATCTTTTCTCAATCATGAATCTGATTCTCAAACCAATGTCTTAATCATTAATGTAATAATTAAATTGATCTTGTATTCCATCTCTAAACTAATTTTACAAAAAATTTTATCAACATTTTACAAATTACAACTATACAAAAATTATGCTAATTTTTATAAATTAGCATAAAGAATGAATGTTGCATAAATTTTAGAAAGTTATTCCATTAATTGCACAACTTCGACCATTGTTGAATGACCAACATAATATGCAATCATTGTTACAACCTAATCAGTTAAATATAGCGAATTACTTTCAACAACAAGAACAATCAGATCAAGCAAGTGCAGAAATAACCGATGATTGTGATGAACTAATCAAGCAAACTAAGCAAACTAGAAAACCACAAAGAAACAGTATTCGAAAAATTGTTGACGTATGTTTTCTTTCATTTATTTATTACTTATTAATATTTTTTATGTAAAATGCTTACGTAAAAAATAGTGATAATGTATGAATGATATCAGGAAGCAGCAAACAAGTCTTTTTTTATCTGGAAGTTCAAGTGCACAGTTGCATGGAATATATGGAGGTCAATCAGATCAAGTAAATACTCGTGAAGATAAAGGGATGAATTCCTTTTTAATTACTACTGATAGAAATATACCAGTTATTCGTAATGATAGAAAAACAGTCAAAGGTATACAAGTAATTAATGTATGTCCATGCTTTTTTTTCATTAATTCTTAAATAATAAATATATTTTGAATAGTAAACTAAATAGGTTCTAAGTAGTATTATTTGAGTAAGTTGAAATTAATACAAATTTATTACAATTTAAGTTGCCTACGAGCGAACTTCCTGAAGTTGAAGAATGAAATGAAGAAAATATAAGCGCCAAAGGGATAAACTCTGATAATAAGAGGAGATTTTCCGCAGAAGCTGCTTTGCTTACTATAAGTGAATTAAATAATGGTTGAATATTTTTGCATATGAGTAAAACTCTTTTGTTCTAAAATTTATTCAGAAAATAAGTGAAAGTTAGTGCAGTTATATTTTGCTATTTGATATAGTATACTGTAAATTATTGCAAGTATCAAAAATTAGCATAAGATATATTTTTAAAACTTTATGAATTGATTTGCAATCTGAAATTATTAATTTTATTATCTGACTTATGGTGTTGACAATTTCGACTTTCGATTCGAATCACCTTTTATATCATCCAAGACCGTTTGAAATAGCTTTACATCAAAGATACATAAAATGTTCAATAAGTATAAATCAAGTAGATTCAAATTTATTTATCTATTCATTTCGAATGAAAAACCTTTAAATATTGTTTCAGATGTGATGACATTAATTGGAAAACCAATGCCTATAGCAAATTCAGAAGCATACTCAACAACACCTACTGAAGAAGGTAACATATCAAAGAGTGGTGGTCTGAATTTAATGTTACTCTTGTCAGTTACTAAATTCAGCAGATAAAAACAGTGATATATATTATCAGTAATTTACTCTTATTAGAGGCTTAAAATACGACTATAATTAATACTGATAAATGAATCACTCAGATAAATTTTTGTTTCGCTTTTTAATCTTCTGTAAAAATTAAAACTTCAAATCTTTTATTGCCAAATCGAATTCAGTTTTCAATTTTTATATTTTTATAAATTTATGCCAATTGTATATTTTAATAATTATTTTTGACTACAAAATATTTAGTGCAGTAATTCTGCATAATTATCGGGAGTGTTACTTAAATGTAGATGTGATAATATTTGTGCAAGTGACTTTACTACTTTATTGACAGATGCATTTGCTAAAATAAAATAACAAGTAATTCTGATAATACTTTTAAGTTTACAATACAATCCTAAACGCTGAACAGAAGTTGCAACAAAAAATTAAACACAAGCTTTTACAGTTTGACAAATGATTGTAGAATTGATTTCATGTCCAACGTAGCTAGAAAATCGAGCTAGTAAAGAAAGAGCGTGTTCACAAACAGGATGTGACACTGTATAAGGTGCAAAACGGCTCTCACATTCGTGCAACGTTGCCTGAAATCTTATTAAGTAATTAAATTAATTAAAAAAGTAAGCAAGGTCATGCATAACTTAAAGTTTATACTTAACAACTTTTTAAAACATAACTCATTTCTGAGTTAATAGATCTCGTATATCATTACTCAATTTAATTTAATTAGAATTTAATTAACATAGAAATATCACTGGAAAAACGTCAAATTTTTAAAAATTTAGCACTAAAGTAAAGGTTACCCCATTGGAGAAGAAAGCTGCTGCTCTATTAAGAAAATCTTTTGCATAATCGAAGAAATCCGAGCAAAGAGAGCAAGGGTCAGCTGTACCGATTGCTATGTTATTATTTTCAAAGATTAGTGCTCGTTTTTCAATTTGCATAACATTTTGATTGCTATCAATCATTTCTCGTTGAACAGAATGAACTCGAGATACACCTTCGATTGGTACAAAACCGATAATGCAAAGGCTAAGGAATAAAAACGAAAAATACATTTCTGCTGATAAATCTACAAAGGTTAATTAGATTTAAAGTTGGTAATAATATGGGCTATATATGAAAATGAAAGAATTACTTTATATATAAATTCATTAAACAATTATTTCATTCATATGTGAACGAATTTACAGAATTCAGTACGGTAATTTTATCAATAAAATAATGAAATATTTAGCAAAATAAAGATACAATAATAAATTTTATTTTATTCGTATAAAGAATAGGACTGGGAAGATTGTACATGAATATTCAGCTCAAAGCAAGCTACCTAGTAAAAACTTAGGCATGTTCTGCTTTTTAATGAATTGCATGGAGTATTTATATTTTAGCAATTTACTGGAATTTGTTATCATCTGCTAATCACAAGCAAATAATCTTTTACTCAAATATAAATTAATCAAATATTTTTTATTCAGTTCGTTCAAATATTTTAAAGAAATAAATGATAATAGAAAAAAACAAAACACTGATAACAAGACTGTTTATTTGTCGACTGCTCTTTATTTTTTCTTGTATTCACTTCAATGAAAATGATTTATGGCATGGTAGAAGAATTTTCAATTATTAATTTCAAAATATTTTTGTATTGACTGTATTTCTTATCGTTATTTTCTTAGAATAAAATAATTATATCAACGATTTAAAATGCTTCAACTGATAACACTGTATTTTTAAATGTTATTTGCAAGAAAACTTTAATCATATATAGACCAAAATGCACTAAAGCCTCATAAACAGTATTTTATTCTATGCACAGTGATAATTTTTTGATATCTTTTAACATATTCTGTGTGGTTTCAATAGTTTGTGTTTTACGTAAGCTATAATTGCTTACTTTTCATTTCTTGACTATTTTACGTGAAACATAATTTGCACGCGAAATTGAATTGAGAATTTTTCTATTGCAAACATCAATGAAATAAGTTATTGAGCTTATAAGTGTTAATAAATCAATTTTTTTCACGGATGCCGTTGGGATTCTAGCAGAAAAAAATTAGAATAAAATATGATGAGAAATTAAAACAGTATTTTTAGTGAAAATTCAACTGTGTAGTCGTTATTAAAGTGATGAAAATTTAAAAGAAGGATTAACGGTAATAAAAATTAATTAATATATTATTATTAAAGACTGTTCAAATTGAGTTAACTTTGTGCTCTTAATACATGTATTTGTACGTTTTTTCTTTGTAAGCAAGAATATCTTTGAGTAATCTTTAAAAAATTGAATGCAAAGCAACTATTGAAGGTAGTCAACTCAGCAAAAATACATAAATTTTCGCAACTAAAACAAATTAAAAAATTGGGTAAAGATTATGCATTATTTATGCATTTAAATTTTAAAGACCCATTTAAACGAGCACGTAATAGCACGTAGTTAATTTCAATTAAGTCAAATAAAATTAAAGTTTTTGGTTGATATTTAATTTTTGAAATATAACTCGACAAATCATGACTGAAAATTACCGTTTTTTTAAACAAAATTTCGTATTTTTAACTTTCATGTCAATCATTATGAATTTTTATGCTAGTGGCTTAAATGTTATCAAAGGATGAAGTTTTGAAAATATATAATTCATTAATTTTTACAATGTAGTGTGTATGTTTGCATTATTTCAAATATTTCATATTTAAAATATAAAAAATTTGAATTGGAATGACTTTTTCAATAATTGATTCAATTAGTTTGTTAGCAATAGTTACTTTAAATAAAAAATTATATTTTATTCAAGTATTCTCACTTTTCTTCAACAATTACAGCCAAATGTCTGAGATTACAACTGAAATCTTTATTTGATACAGTACAAAAAAGTTTTTAAATTAGATTTTTGTTCAACCATGGAAATCGAGCAGTTGTTTTAGTTTAAAAAGAAAAATATTGTAGTTCTATAATACATCTATTATATTTTTATTTTTCATGCTTTTATCTCCAGAACAAGTCAGTGCTCAAAGGAATCTGAAATAAATTCTTACTGGTTTTGTACTGAATAACTGAAGCAAATTAGTTGAAATTATGCAGTATTAATTGCGCTATCATCAATGACATTATTATTGTTATTGTTAAAAATATTATTTATATAGCTATTCACAGCAATCATATTTATGATCATATTTATGATTATAGCTATTCACAGCAATCATGTTTATGTTTTTCCACTGTTTTTGTCAAAAGAAGAGATCTACGATATTCATGAGCAATTGAAACTGATTTGTGCTTTGTTAAAATGAAAATTGAAGAAAGCTATCCATCTACAATATTGTATTTTACAGTGTTTCATTCGGATCACATATCAGCTTACTCGACATTGCTTGCTATCATATGCATTACTGTTAAGCTTGCTTAAAGCAGCTAAAATAAATATGTGAATATCAGTTAAAAATAAATTATAAAATGAGGAAAACAACCAACTTTATTGCAGAAAAAGTCAAACAAAGTATGAATATCTAGTCTATCACACTACTATTGTAATATTAAAGTTGTAATTAGTGTAAGAGCAATGAAGATAGGGCATAGTAGTTCAGTTGGAATAGTAACAAAAAACTAGGCTACTTAACGGTTATTTGACTAAGACAAAAATGGTATTTTGCTACGATTTTTTTCTCAGTGTCGAGCTGGCATTATGGTATGGTATGGTATGGTATGGTATGGTATGATATGGTATGGTATGGTTTGATATGAGATGATATAAAGTTGAAAAATATTACATCGCATCATACAGAACCATTTCTTGCAAAATAGTGGAATCCAAATATGAACAATTTCTGATTACTAGAAATCGAAATGACAAATATAGAATATTATGTTGTAGCATTATAATGCAAGCATAATGCCTTGCTGTAAATCTTTTGAACTGTTGAATTTATTTAAATAATGTCAATAATAAATAATAAATGGTTAATAATCAGTGATCTGATAATTTTTAAATTCAATTTTTCTTAATTAAATTTAATTTGTTAGCTTAAAGAAATATGCAACTTTGTGAATTGAATAAAAAAAGTAAATGAAAATAATATTTTTTGTTTTTCACTTTTGTAAAACAAACTTTTAATTTTAATTTTGTCAAAAATTTGATTGAAGGATAAATTTAGATGATGATCTGATTCGATGGATCAAATGCAATTGCTCTATAGACAGTATTATTCATAATTACATTAAATGTCTTTAACTTTGTTTTTATACTGCTCATAATTTTCATCGCTTTGAAAATTACAAAGTTCAAAAGTTTAAAAGAAGCTAGCAAGTTGGCTAACTTTTTTGGTTTTTTTTTTATTTGAATTAATTAATTTTTGATTGGATAACAATTTCGTTAAAATTTGTAAATTTTCAAAATTGAAAAGTAATGTTTATTAAATCCTGAATAAAATATTTATCGAAGGTTGTACATATTAAAAAAACGAATAATGTTTATAAATTTAGAAACAAAAGTATTTGGAATAAATCGCTACTCAAATATATTCAATAAAATATATTGATTTAAAATAAATTCATTTAAATATATTTACTAAAATATTTTTTTTTTACAAAACTAGCATTATTAAATTATGCTGGTAAAACAGCTGAAATTAATCGACATA